CCTTCACTGGACGAACGTGCTTTGGCAAGGCCTTATAGAACCAGGCTCCAGAGCGCTTCCACACCTGTAGAAAAAGAGAGAGGGAAGGTTAAAAAAAAAAACAGAAAACAGCAAGAAACAGAGAGAAACAAACAAAAAGTAGTTGTACAGAGACAAAACACAGATTTATTTTGTCTGTGGGCAAAACAACAAGCAGAGCAGCTATTCAGAGGGTTTGACATTACACAATAGACCTTGATGAAGCAAATAATAGAGTGCTACCACAGAGCTCAGGGAGTCAAGAGTAATAGCACGGTGAGTATCAACAGTGTGCAAAGGGCTTGTGCTCAGTCAGCTATAGGTTGCATTTTACTTCTAAGCCATCTCATTCCTTTGAGAGATGGGACCAGTGAGATGCTCTGTCTGAGTAGAGTAGCTCAGTATCATGTTCTGAGCCGGAGGGAGGAAATACTGGCCCAATCCATTTACACACTTTCCATCTGGCCAGGACTTTGCATGGGGATCAAGCCCGGGCATAATGTGCAAATCGTAAACAATGGAAAAATACCATCCACCCAGCCTACTGAATCTTTTTCTAACAGGCCAGGCTAGGGCCTGGCAATGGCACACCACAACGGTTCTACATCCAGGGACTTAAATTAGATTCTTCTTGGTTATACAGAAACAAAAAAAAAGACAGCCCAACAATAAAACACACTGAACTTCTCAAATTCCTTTGTAGAAAGCATTCCAAAGACAATATAGCTTAGTCAACCCAGTTAGCCAGCCTGTCTGATGACACTATTGTGTTAGGGTATATTGTAACAGTGCACGCTCCTGGTAGACAGGCATATAGTGACAGACAGTAGGTGCTAAAATGTCAGGGTTGACAACAGCTGCTGCCGGGTTGGCACGGACCGTTACCCAGCTGCAGCCAACCAGCCACCATCTCCATCACCCAAGCCACCAACCTCCTGTGAGCCAGCCACACTAAAGCAAATCTGTTCTGCTACCACAGCCAATCCTGTGACGGCTCTCTCAAGAAGCTATTTATTGGTCAAACTCTGGAAAAAACATGCTGTAGGCACTTAAAGGAGAGATTCATTGAACAATAAATGATTTTTACCAGCCACTGACAGTTGAGATGAAATAAAAATGCTAAAATGCTGCACAACCTGAATTGGCCAATGTTCATTCCTAACACACAATTAATAATCAACTGATTTACAACTCCATGACAAGACCAAGTTGAGCTTGCAAACTACATAAGCACTGCTTTTTTACCTCTTTCTGCATTGACCTGGATATTTTTAATTAATATAAACAAATAAAAAATTATTAGTATTTTTTCTCATATCTCTGTTTTCAGATTAACTAGGACACTCTTGTCTCTCTGTGTGAAATCTTGTGACAGTGCTGAGCTGCTAGTGAGCAAAGAGTTATGTTTTTTAATAAATGTTGACTTGTCTGCTCACCTATAAAGACAAAAATCTGGTCCAAATCTTGTTTTGTAAATCATACACATTTGCATCAAAATATACATCAATGTTAAGAAATAAAACAGAAATCGTATTTTGCGGCTACTGTGAAAAGGGCTTCGATGTTTGTTTTAGTTTGATTTTTATGGACCAAAAAAAAAGCACATCAAGTTTTGAGAACAAACACAGGCAAATTACTCGACTTTCTATGTTGTACACATGCACTGAAAGCCAGGCTAACCAATAGAGCTCTGTGGTCAAGGTTACAGTTTATACAGAACAGCTAGTCTGGCTCATGGCAGAGCACGAAAGCTTATGTTTTTCTTATCAGAGAAAAAAAAACACACATTGCACTGCATGTGAAAGTTTCAACAGGTTGAAAATCACATCCTTTTTTCAAAAGACGTCTGAAAGTAAGTAGGACGTAATAAAATTACTAAAAGAATTTAATTCCAAAATGATATATATCCATTTGTAACAATTATGGATGTTAAGTGTGGTAAAGCAGTAATAAATCTGACAAAATCTTTTGAAAAAGATTCTAACTTAAAATAACATACATATCTCTTCAACATGCAAGTTTTAGGCCTAAACCTTCTCAAAACTATCACAAAACAATGTAATATTCATAATCATTTTGTAATAGCTTTGTGTATGGTAACTTTCAGAGGCATTAAAGTCTTCAGATGTCTGTTTCCCCATCACCACCGCTGTGAACAATTCTGACTCAGCAGGGTTCTCTAAAATGGAGCCTTTCACATCAAACCACTCAGAATGACTGTTTACATTTTAACTTTCTGCAGAAATTTTGAAAAATTAATGGAATTCCTCCTTAACTCAATATTTGTCAAAACTATTTCACAGAAGTGGGATACATTTATTATCATAAGTCAATTAATAAATAAAGAATACTTTAAAAAAAAAAAAAGTAATTCTGACATACCATACAAAGAGACTTGCAAGGAAATTTCAAGCAGATGTTGTCAAAACTGGATGAATCCCTGTTGCCAGGAATGGATTTTACAGAACAGAATTCTGAGAACACACTGTGAACCACGGCACTATTTCTGATTCTGCATTACAGGGGCCTGTAAAACGTGTGTCTGCTCAAAAACATGGTAAGCTCTGAATTCTGAAAGGGTCAAACGCATAGCACTTCGGTGACAATCAAGATCATCTACTCAGAAATGTCTCAATAAGAGACTGAACAACAAAACAGCTACAGTCATTGTCTCTCTTACCGATGACAGTCGTCTAACAGATGTGTGAATCGTGTGATTTTAAAGAGGATTCAGTCACTCATAATGCTTCACAGATTTACAAGCCCATTTCCAAAAAGAGTTGGGACGCTGTGCAAAATGTAGCAATGATGTGCAAATCATTTAAACCCTATAAATAGTACAAAGACAACATATCGAATGTTGAAACCGAGAAATGTTATTGTTTTACATGCCCATTTTGAATTTGATGGCAACAACATATTTCAAAAAAGTTGGGAATGGGGCAACAAAAGGCAGGTAAAAAAAAAATAAAAAATCCCTGGTGGTTTATTGGCAACAGGTCAGTAACTTGATTGGGTATGAAAAAGCTTCCCAGAGAGGCTGAGTCTTTCAGAAGATGAGGGGGAGTTCACCACTCTGTGAAACAAATAGTGCAGCAATTCAAGAACAACGTTTCTCAACATAAAATAGCAAAGAACTTTTGCTTTTCATCATCTACAGGTACATAATAACATTAAAACATTCAAAGAATCTGGAGAAATCTCTGTATGCAAAGGACAAGGCCAAAAAACAGTATTTGCTGGCTGTGATCTTTGGGGCCCTTAGGTGGCACTGCATTAAAAACACACATGACTCTGTAGTGGAAATCACTGCATGGGCTCAGGAACACTTCTGAAAACCACTGTCTGTAAAAACAGTACATCACTGCATCCACAAATGCAAGTTAAAACTTTAAAACGCAAAGAAGAAACCATCTATAAACGGGATCCAGAAATGCTGCCACATTCTCTGGGCCTGAGCTCATTTAAAATGAACTGAGGGGAAATGAAAAGTGTCTGATGGTTCGACGAAACAACATCTGAAATTCTTTTTGGAAATCATGGACACTGTGTCCTCCGGGTTAAAAACCACTCAGCTTGTTATCAGTGCACAGTTCAAAAGCCAGTATTCATGATAGTATAGGGGTGCAATAGCACACATGGCATGGGTGACTGGCACATCTGTGAAGGCACCATTAATGCTGAATGATATATACATGTTTTGGCAATATGCGCTGCCATCCAGATGACGTCCTTTTTCAGTGAAGGCCTTGATTATTTCAGCACGACAATGTCAAACCACATTCTGCATGTATTACAACAGCATTGCTTCATATTAAAAGAGTCTGAGTGCTAAAATGACCTGCCTGCAGTCCAGACCTGTCACTCACTGAAAACATTTGGCACATTATAAAATGAAAAATACGACAAAGGAGAACCCGAACTGTTCAGCAGCTGAAATCCTATATCAAACAAGAATGGGAAAACATTTCACTTTCAAAATTACAGTAGTCAGTCTCCTCAGCTCCCAAATGCTTACAAAGTGTTTTTAAAAGGTGACGAAACACAGTGGTAAACATGCCCTCATCCCAACTTCTTTGGAATGTGTTGCTGGCATCAAATTCAAAATGAGCATATATTTTTCAAACAATAAAATTTCTCAGTTTCAACATTTGATATGTTGTCTTAGTAGTATTTCCCTTTAAAAATATGGTTTACATGATATGCATATCACTGCATCCTATTTCTATTTACATTCTGCACAGCGTCCCAACTTTTTTGGAAATGGGGTTGTATTTCATTTGGAATCCCTGACATCATGAGGCTTGTTCTGAACTTTTACAGGATGCTTTGAAAGGCCATTTTATTATGTTCACAATCTTACGGTTCAGTGAGATTGTTTGGCAGGAAATCATTAAAATCTGTCAGGCTTTTATTGGAGAATTAAGCTTTGCCAGGATGATGAAATCATTTGAAATGTACACTTCAGAAAGATAACACATCACGTAGCTACCAGTGTATGTGTGTGGCGGTCTGCAGAAACCCCTCAGAAGTCTATTTTGACAAAAGGCAAAAATATAAAAAAACTCTTACTTGTTTAAGATATAGACAAGGCTCTGCACGACTTAGCAGGCTAGCCTACTTGTATTCACATGTTGTAGTCACAGCTTCTTATCTGTTTAAGTAAGTTATATCATTACACTTGCGCAATACAATGAAATTCTTTTCTTTGTATATCCCAGCTTAGAAAGCCGGGGTCAACTATGATATGGCGTCCTTGGAGCAGAGGGTGCCACCACTGCCCCCCCAAAAAATCAGAAAGACTATTGCAGCTGGCTACTACACACTGAAGGAGAAGCTCTGTCGGGTAGCAGATACAGTACAAAGCACAGCTACAGCACATTTGAAGTCTCACAGGAAAAATCAGTGAACAAGAAATCCATTTTACACTCTACTGTTCCATATAGATTTAATGGACTTAAACTTTCAACATCATTTCGTGAATTTCTTTTGTTTCGTATTAACTAACTCTTCACAATCTTGCTGTTTTTAAGCTAAAAACATGAGGCACAAAGTGAAATACAATGCGACAGGTCTAATAACATTAGCTATGGTGAAAACGGAAGATTAGAATTTCTCTGTTCATCTTAAAGATTCAATTTTAAGCCATGCCATCTACTGCGGATTTGTCAGGACCGAGGTTTAATTTAATATAGATGCCATTACCTGAATAGCCTTAACACTTACGCCTACCCAGGTCAGACTTGTTTCAAACCATACTTGGGAGATGGCCACTGGTTTCAGAAAGACACAGCACAGCAGTTATGAAGAAGGCCCAGCAGCGTCTGTATTTCCTGCAACAGGTCAAGAAATTTGGGCTGCCTCAAGCACTGCTGGTCCAGTTCTACAGTGCCATAACAGAATCCATCATCACATCTTCCATCTCTGTCTGGTTCGTCTCTGCATCTTCGTCCACCAAGCATAAGCTACAGCGCACAGTTCACTGCAGAGAAAAGCACTGGCTGTCGGCTCTTTACTCATGTAGGAAGAGTGACTATCTTATTCTTTTTGCACTGAAACAATCAAAATTATCTGACAGTATAATAAGACAATAAGACAGCATAATAAAATGAAATGACTTAAAGCAAGTAAAAAATCTATAAACAAGTTGAATCATCTTACAACATTCTCACAACAATCTCATAATAAGATATACTTAATATGCTAACTAACTTGCCAAGATGCCATTTTTGCAGTGCATGAAAACATATGAACGTGGTTTGCTCATATTTGTCCTCTGTTTTACACAACAAGAACCTGTTGAGGAGTAGAAAAAGAGATGCATGAAGATGTAGAGCTGGACGACGTCCAAGAAAAGATGAGAAAGACCTAGTGCAACCTGTCCTTGGATGCTATAACTACATAAGTCTCCTTCAGTCAAGATGGCCATTAGATAACAGCCTTCTAGAGTGAAATGAATTCCGTCAGGATGAAGTCCGTGATATTAACACACACAGTGAAGGATAATGGTGTGAAACTACAATGCACTGAAAGGTCTCTTCTCTATTACATTAACTTGACTGAGCAAAATCCCACCCATGGCAAACACAAGACATGTAACACTTTCCTTGAACCCTCCTACATAACACTGACAGAACCATGCCATCAAGATCTGAGAGATGCCATAATGTTTGATGTTTAACAGCTTATGTCACCTGCACATTTTTGCTGTGTATTCTAGTTCGCAAACATTTTCACATCTGTTATGACAATTAACAGTAATGATAACATGACTCTGTTATATTCCTGGACATAATCTGGCATTACAACTAATGACAGCATATAATATCTGCTGTGAAGTGTTTATGGCATGGTTAAGTCAATGTTATGTATTGTCACCAAAAAAAAAAGATTATATAATGAGACATTAATTTTACGGGCACCCTGGTCCTCACATTGACCAATTTCTTGAGACTGACAAAGAGATGATTAAAAATTAGTCGCCGCCTATATCCGATATGTGCTCATTATAAATTGAGATGCCATTGCTTATATTTCCATTCATGTTCCCTACAGAAGGAAAGGACATGAGAGTGATAGGGAAGACCGCAGGCCACGAGGGAAATACGTATGAGCAGTGAGCGCTGTTTCAAGGTCAAGGAAGAGAAGGAAAAGGAAAAATAATGGAGCAGCTGTATCTCTGTCTTCTGCAATATCTACAGACTCATTATCTCCAGAGCTGTACTATAGGGATTGCATCAGGTTCCCTTAACAATTCCGTCTATCCCATCAATGCAGCGTACACACACACTCGCAGTAGTACATGCCTCCAGTGACAAGCCGCAGGCCACAGCTTTATATCTGCAACTTATATATATATGAATTGTGGTTTTGATTATACCAAGCAAACTGCATAAATTCAGTCCATCCGTTCAAACTGACAGTACTGTACTAGACACACAGTCTCTGGACACTTTATTAGATACACCTATCTTGAATCTTCATGCACTGCTTATTTTATCACATAGGAGCACTTTGTAGTTCTACAATTACAGACTGTAGTCCATCTGTTTCTCTGCATACTTTGTTAACCCTCTTTACCTTGTTCTTCAATGGTAAGGATCCCCACAGGACCACCTCAGAGCAGGTATCATTTGAGTGAAGGATAATTCTCAGCACTGCAGTAACACTGACATGGTAGTGGCATATTAGAATGTGTTGCGCTGGTATGAGTGGATCAGACACAGTAGTGTTACCTGGGTTTTATCGCACTCTATTCAGTATTAACAATTATACATTTAAATCTCACACAGCAGGCCAACATACATAGGATTTTAAGAAAGATTTTCTATGTAAGTCCACAGTGGGACCCAAAGTTTCCAGAATTTGTCCGTCTGGTGACGTAGATCGTAGGTCAGTTTTTCCAGGGGAAGCAGAGTTGCAGCTTGGGAAAGCCACTGCTCAATAGATGGTGAAGAGGGGCTGGCCCATCGAATTAGGATACATTTTTTTTGCCAGAAATGAAAACATTAGAAACAAAAATTTGCCATCAGTATCAAAAATATGTTCTGCTCCTATTCCCAAAAGATACAGGGCAGGGGATTTCTGAAATTGTGTCTGAAGGATATTTTCTACCGTGATGTGTACTCTATCCCAGAAAATGCCAATTTTTTTACACTGCCAAAAGGCATGAAAAAACGTTCCTTTTTCAGTTTTACATTTAAAACACAAATTAGTTCTGTCTGGAAACATCTTCTGTAGGCGAACAGGTGTAAAGTATATCCTATTCATGAACTTAAAGTTAAGCTCGTGAACACCAGATGAGGTACACCTGGGAAACAGACCTTTACAAATATTGCACCAGTCCTCTTCTGAGATAGGTTGGTCTAAGTCCCTTTCCCAAATTCCCCTCAGAGTGTCTGACGATGGTTTAACACTCTTTAGCAAAATGCCATGAATTAGTGAAATCAATCCTCTAGTCTGGTCCTTCTTAGCTAGCAACACTTCAAGATCGGTTAATTCCTTTCTAAATCTCCCATCCTTAATGGCTGAGGTGATCAGGTGACGAATCTGAAGATATTTGAAAAAATCTGACCTAGGTAACTCATATTCTTCTTGCAATTGTGTAAACGATTTGAGCAAACTACCAGAAAACATATAAGAAATGTTTTTGATCCCTCTGTTAAGCCAAGCTGAGAGTCCAGAGTTACTCAGCTGAGAAGGTAAATCTGGGTTGTGGGCCAGAGGGGACAGTAGTGAAAGACAATGAGGAATCTTAAGATATTTCTTAACATCTGTCCAGGCCATAAAGGTATTGTGTAAAATAAAATTCTCAGAGACACACCTCACCTTTGCAGCATCATTAATAAACGGTAAGCAATCAAGAGGAATAGGGCTACATGCCCCTGTTTCCATAGAGACCCAGCGAGAATCCAACCTATTTGTACACCAGCTGATCATATGCTTTATTTGAGATGACCAATAATACAACTGCATATTAGGCACACAAGCACCACCTTCCTCCTTCGCTCTTATTAATCTAGAAAATTTAAGTCTTGGCCTTTTATTATTCCATATAAATTTTGAGAAACTTTTCTCTAGATCCTTGAAGAAAATTGTGGATAAATGGCAAGGGATTGACTGAAATAAATAGAGTAAGCGAGGGAGGATATTCATTCTTATTATGTTTACCCTGCCAAATAAGGAAATAGGGAGAAAGTTCCATAATGTAAGATCATGTTTTATATTATTAATAAGTGGAAGGTAATTTTTGTCAATAAGGTTATTAAGGTCTGGGGTGATATGAACACCCAAATATTTAAAACCCTCTAACGCTAATTGAAAGGGGGATGCAACTACCCAAGGTGTGAAAAGGGATATATTTAAAGGTAAAGCTAATGATTTTGAAAAATTGATCTTATAACCAGAAAATTTACTGTATTCTGAAATACACTTCATTATAGATGGAATAGATTTTTCTGGGTGGGCCATATACAACAAAATGTCATCCGCATACAGTGAGATTCGATGGTCTGCTCCTCCTGCTCTAATACCTGAAATGTCCTGGTAACATCTAATTGTTTCTGCCAGTGGCTCAATCACCATGAAAAAAGCAATGCAGAGAGAGGGCAGCCTTGTCTTGTTCCTCGACTTATCTGAAACTTTTCAGAGAGCAACCCATTTGTATTGACTGTAGCGTACGGATCGGCATATAGCAGTTTAACTAAATGAATAAAAGTAGGACCTAAATTAAATTTTTTAAGGACAGCGAACAAGAATGGCCATTCGATCCTATCAAAAGCTTTCTCTGCGTCGAGAGAAACAATAAAGGCGGGGTCATTACTTTTTCTAATAAAGTCAATAATATTCAACAGTCTACGTATATTATCAGAACCATATCGCATCCTTATAAATCCAGTTTGATCTGGGTTAATGATTTTAGGTAAGATCACCTCTAATCGTCGTGCCAGAGCTTTAGCAAAGATTTTACAATCTGCATTTATTAAGCTGATTGGTCTGTAAGAGGCGCAGTCTTCTGGGTCTTTGTCTTTCTTAAGTATTAAGCTTATTGAGGCGGTTTTCCAGGTTTCAGGCATGGTAGTTTGGGTACACAGATCCATGATAACTGGCATCAATATAGGTTGAAGTTCAGGCCAAAATGTTCTATAAAATTCAGCAGGGTAACCATCCAGTCCCGGTGTTTTCCGTGAAGGCATTGACTGGACGGCACCAAAAATTTCTTCGGGGGAGAAAGGGGCATTAAGACTGCATCTGTCATTGTCTGAGACCACCGGAAGTGGTATATTATCTAAATATGCAGTAATATCAGATTCTAAAACTTTATTTTGAGATTTATATAAGGATTCATAGTAAGTTTTAAAGGTTGTATTGATCAACTTTGGATCGTATGTATGCGAACCCGTCAATGTCCTCACAGATTTTATTAATCGCTCTGAATGTTCTTTTTTAATCTGATAAGCCAATAACCTACTAGGTTTGTTCCCATATTCGTAATACTTTTGTTTAGAAAGGAATAGTAATTTGTTAATATGACTTGTATATTCTAGATTAAGTTTAGCTCTGGCACTACATAAAGAAGCCCAGTTAGATTTGTTAGGATTTGATTTGTGCAACTGCTCATGATATGCTACTTCTTTTTCTAAATACATCCGATTTTGTATTTTCATTTTTTGACATGATGAGGTGTAAGATATAATATGCCCACGGATTGTGGCCTTCAAAGCTTCCCATCGCATAAATGGTGAGACATTACAGTCCTTGTTAAATTCCCAATATTCTTTGATCCAGTAACGCACTAGGTCACAGAATGCAGAATCCGATAGAACGGGAACAGTTAAATCTCCAGAGTCTGCTTTTACATACAGGAGTGCCAAAATTAACATGTACACTAACTGGGGCATGATCTGATAAGACAATTGAACCAATCTGGCAGGACTGGACTGTGTGGACAAAGCTACTTGGGATAAAGATATAGTCGATTCT